CTAATAATTAATATGAATTAATTATTGGAGATATCATGTGATATATCTTTCGTTTCATATCATTTCATTTTTGTTATTTTTCCTATTATAGGATTCTTGTAAGGGTTATTTATACCCCTGTTCATATTAATGAAACAATCAAGTTTTCCACAGTATTCCACATTATTCTAAATTTTAACAGGGTATCAGAGACTAACTTCGTACTCTAGCCACCGGTCTTCTTTTGAGAATTGTTGGACTTCCTTCCTGTCATCTTCTGTGTATGAAGGGAGGGACAGTCATCTTGATATTTGAAACGATGAATTTTTCTTGTTCTTCTAATCCCTAATTCGCCGCCGCCTTGTTAGGTTATAGAAGCCATGGAAAGAATCACGAAGATGGGCTCCCGTGAGTTCAATATCGATGCTACCTCAGAGTCCGAACCAGAGGCGTTATACCTATCACTGTCTCCGGGTCCATGCATATGCATCAACCTCAACAGCAAGGTCATCAAGCCTCCAGCCAGCAATGGCGGAGGGAGCAATCTTGACATCGGATATGACACTAATGATCCCATCACGGTTCCCCGTCACATCAGCGCTGACTTAATTCTTTGCAAGATGTTCATCCCCGTGATACTCCATCATCCATAGGACTTCGTGGGGGCTACTCGTCGCTGCATCGTCGGAGGTCTCCTGACGGACTCAGCCACCGTGCACCCCAAATGCTGGTCGACCGCGTCGTGTGGCTGCGATTGGTCTTCGACGGCGCGGGTCCCCTCTGGCATTCTATCTGCGGCTCCCAAGAAACCATGATATCAAAGATGCTTTGGAGTTTGGTCAGACATCACCACAAACCATCCAAAAACTTCCTACATTATATCCTCCTATGTCGGCACCAGCGGTGGGGCTCCAGTTAGGGCGACACCAGCGATGCCGCCACCCGCCTCATCAACAATCCGGCCGAGATATCGCTGTAGTGATCGAACAAAGCTGGCAAAATCCATCGCCAACCATTCCTCCTGCAGTATTTTTTCTTCCCTGCCAAAGCGTCAGGGGAGCTGCATTTCCAATCGACAATTTCTCATGCAGTTTTTTTTTCCCTGCCAAAACATCAAGGGAAGCTGCGTTTCCAGCCAATCATTTCTCTTGCAGTATTTTTTTCTTCCCTGTCCAAGCGTTAGAGAGAGCTGTGTTTCCAGCCGATGACAATTTCTCATGCAGTTTTTTTTTCCCTGCCAAAGCGTCAAGGGGAGCTGCGTTTCCAGCCAATCATTTCTCTTGTAGTATTTTTTTCTTCCCAGTCCAAGCGTTAGAGGGAGCTGTGTTTCCAGCCGATCATTTCTCTTGCAGTATTTTTTTTCTTCCCTGACCCAAGCGTCAGGGGTAGCTCTATATTCAGCCGCCCTTTCTTCTGCTGCTTTCTCTGTCAGCAGAATTTACTGGGTGTGATTTACATGTTCTTTTCTGCAGCTAACGACAATCGTGGTCAGGTAAAAGTAGGTTTTCCTGTAAGTTGTCTCTTTTCCTGCAAAACTTAAAATCCAGCCAAGCCTGAATCCAGCAAATTCAGCCAAGTCTGAATCTCTCTTCTACGCCGAAACATATGGCAGACAAAACTCAAAATTCAGTCAAGGCTGAATCTAGCAAATTCAACCAAGCCTGAATCTGTCTTCTACGCCGAAGCATATGACAAACAAACTCAAAATTCAACCATGTCTGAATCTAGCAAATTCAATAATCCAAACGACCAATTTTTTTTCATTACTTAGCAAGTTTGGAATTATTAACATACATTTCAAACTTAAAGAATTATAATAGGAAATAATTTATTCTTATAAGAAGTTATGAGGAATAAATTATTTCCTTAATATGAGGAGATATTTCCTTTCCCATTTTATATTTATTTCCTTGGATTAGGAATTATGTGTTTTCCTATTTTATGTTATTTTCTATATCTCCTAATAATTAATATGAATTAATTATTAGAGATATCATGTGATATATCTTTCCTTTCATATCATTCCATTTTTATTTTTTTTCCTATTATAGGATTCTTGTAAGGGTTATTTATACCCCCGTTCATATTAATGAAATAATCAAGCTTTCCACAGTATTCCGCATTATTCTAAATTTTAACACTATATACTCAACAAACACAAGCGCGCGCGCGCACACACACACACACACACACTTATTATCTGAGTCGGTTATATGAATTCTTTTTCTCCATTGCATCCAATTGAGTGTCATATTTTCATTTAATTTAAATAGGTTAAGATCATTTTTTATACAATATGTTCAAGTATTTTTAAGTCTACAACTACCTTTCTTAACATAAGTTAAATTTAAAACATATACTTTATTAGCTGGATCATTGGATGGTTGTCGTTTACTGGAACAATTCATCTATGGTGGTTCTCTCTCAACACCGTTATTGTCGGTTCCCAAGCCTCGGATGCGAAAAGTCTAGAATTGCATAAGATAGTCGACAACTAGTGTAAAATTTATCGAAAAATCACGACATCAATAACATACAATTCAATTTGATTAATTTTAAAGTTAGAATTTATAAGCTAAAATTTTTCAATAAAAACAACCCCGGCTTCCTGATTATTCTTAATGTTTTAGTTTTAAGACAGTATTTTGAGATTCTAGCTTTAAATAATTATAAGTTGACTTTATTTCTTCACTTGAAGGTAGAAAAGTGAGGATTACAAGAGAAATTTGACAATTAAATCATTATTCCTAGAAATAAGTGTAAGCGAACAATCACCAGTCGTTGTTGATCAGCACCATTAATTGTTGCAACCAACCACATCAGTGGTTGCTATTATAGTCACTAATTACAGTAGAAATTGCCCACTTAAGTAACCAAATTACTAGTGAATGGTGATTTTGAGTTTTTGTAATTACACTTTCATAATTTAAGAGAATGCTAGATCTTTATACATTTAATCTTGTAATATGATCTCATGATTTTCTTCTTGTTAAGATTTTCTATTTAAATAATTTGATTATCTATTGCAGCGTTTAACTATAAGTCTGTTTGGGGCACCTGTTGATTATTTATAATCTGCTGATAAACAGATTACTCTGATAATATTATCAGAATAATCTGGTTTGCTATTTGTGGCAGCTTATTCAGAACAACTTACTGACAGTTGTTGGATAAATGATAATTTTGCCCTGTTCAACTCAAAAAGGTTATTGCAATTGTTCAAAAAGGTAACCCTTTAGCAAAATTCCACACCAGGGTGAAAGGAATATCAATATTACATAAAAAGGAATGGAGCATAATAATTGGACAAATTCAAAATTTGATTCAAACGATTGAATACTTGCTCTAGAAAATCAATCTGCGTCCATGAAAAATTCATCATAATTGATCATATCTTGAAATTTGTTGATCTAAAAATTGATAGAGCAAGATGTCTAAAGGGTTAAATACCATAGAAGCTTGGATCCATCCAAACTGCACATTGCTTTCTGGTAAATTATTCCAAATAAAATCTTAGACGAACTGAATAAGCCGTCAATACTCTCGTCAACAAAAAGGCATTGAAAACAATCCTCGCATAGAAAAATGGATTTCACAAACCGCAAATCCAAAAAAAGAAAAATCATCCAAAAAATATAAATCAAGAAAACATTTTCTTATAGTTAATTGGAGGCAATGCTTACAGTGGACGGGGAAGGTGTTCAGAAGAGAAGGGCAAAAGGAGAGCTTCGATTCTTATTGATCCTCTTCCCGGTTCGAGCGTGGGAGAGCTTTGAACGAAAGCTGGCCCCCTTCGAGTGACAGATCCTCTTCGGATCCAGCCGAGCTTCGCGCGAAACAACGAAGGGTTTTTTGTTTCGCAGGCAAAGGGGTCGCGGCAGAGGGGATCGGGATCGGGATCGGGACGAAGGAATCGGCGACTGAGGGGATGTGGAAGGGCAGAGGGGATCTAGATCGGAACGGAGGAATCAGCGACTGAGGGTTTGTTTCGCGAGAGAAGGCCGGACGCGAACGGGATCGAGATCGAGGGCTTCCGGGCAATAGTCTCGAACGATAAGCAAAAAGCGGGATGCGAGGTGCGGTCCCGAACAACGAAACTGCGTCGGGCGATTTCCTACCACGATACAAACGTCCTAAACAAACACTCGGTGGGCGTTTTGAAAACGCCGACCGCAGTAATAAGCTGCCCCAAACGGGCCCTCTGTCTCTACGTGCTAGAAAATTATATATTAAGAAAAAAAAAATTGATGCCTTGCAGAATTTTGTTAACTCGCATTAGCGCAAAGCCAAACTCTTCAATGAATGCTATTTTTTGTTCCAAATTCCCTCTAAAGGTAAAAAAAAAAAATGATGAAGGGACGGAAGAGTCTTGGAAAAAGAGAAACAAGAAAACAAATAAATAAAGTAGTGGTGCATTTCATTGATATTGCTGTAATGCTCCTTTTTTATTAAGGAACCCATTTATCTTCGTACATACTTAGATGTGACTTCATCCACTTAAATAACGTGTACAAATACACCCCCAGATTAGTATACAGATCAGTAAATATTAAATAATGTTTCTTGAAAAAAAACAGTATATTTTGGGCCCAAGTTTCTGAAGAGATTATATATAATATATATACCATCTTATATAAATATGAAATTTATAATTCATTTTTTTAATTAAAATAATTGTATTTCTGAGATGATATAAAAGACTTGGTTGATATAAATGGAAAAAAATATAATATATAGGTGTTTAATATGTAAATAACGGAATTCGGTGGGGGCTCTCAACATCTCATTTACCCATCTGGCATCATAATTGATAATCCAAGGCAGGAGCGGGCAAAACCGAATTTTTTTGAAGTGATAGGGCCGCTGCATTAAATAGCAGTTCAGAAGAGGGCAAAAGAAAGCGTTGGCTGCTAGCTGAGCTCAGGCCTCCCGCCTTAAATCACAAACACATTTCGATTTCAAATAAGGTGAAACAAACTAATCAAAATATCAAAATCCATTTCGAAGAACAGAATAAGAACACAACAGAACAAACAAAGCGCATAAAACATGGGAAACAAAGACCAACAAGGAACAGGTTGGTTGATGATACTCACAACCAGTTTTCAAATTCAGTTTTGATCACTTCTGCTGTCCCTTTCGCTTCCAGAGTTCTCCAAACACTCTTATTCCGCTGCCGCTCCCTCTCTTCTTTTGTCCATCTTGTCCTTCAGCAACCTCTGCACCGGTTACCAAAGGCGACCACAGAACTCCATTGTTCAAAAAATTGCCGCTTTCGAGTGGTTTCAGCGCTGATCTGAAACTCTCATCTCCTGTATAGAGTATGGAGGCTGCAGCCTCTGAGGCCTTGCGCCACTGATCTGTTTGAATCCTGAGAAGCTTCATCTCCGCTTCCATAGACGCTTTACTAACTTCCTCGGCATCCAGTTTCTGCTTCAACTGCAGTACCAATGACTTACTTTGTTTCAGCTCCTCCTCTGTTTCTGCAAGCTTGATCTCCATCTCCTCTGTTTTCATCCCGCTTATAGATAAGGCCGCCTTTGCTTCCCCCGCTTCCTTTTCAAGGCTTTCCTTCTCTGCTACAACAGTCTCCAGCTTCTTCGCCTGCTCTGCCAGCTTGGCTCTCACCTTGGCCATCTCCAGGATATCAGTAGATTCTACCACATGCTTACTCCTCACCTCGCCTTCCCCCTTCTCTTCTGATCTACTCGTTTTCTCAATAGTCACCATTATCTCCGGTTTGCTTGCATTGTCCTCGCAGCAAGACGCAGCAATTTCATCTACATCTGAGGTTATGCAACTATCGCTGTCTTTTTCTGCTGGCAAAAGCTTGTCTTTTTCATCTACCTCATCCACATCTTCTGGATTTGGAAGAGTTTTTGTCGACAGAGGAAAAACAGCAGCTTTCTCCACCTTTTCGAGTTTGTTCTCCACAACCGTTTTGGCCGCCTCCGCTGAAGCCAGCTGTTCCTTGAGCTTCTTAAGCTCCTCCATCGTTTGGTCGAGCTTCTTCTCCAGATCCGCCAATCTCAACCCCCTCTTTTTCTGCATAAAAAGAAATTCTTATAAAATGGATTTCAAAATAAAGAATTTTGAAAGAAGAAAAAGTTTAAATCGGAACAGAGTACCTCTTCGAGCACAATGCGAGAAGAGCTACGATCTTCGAGTTTGGAGCTTCGTTCGATGCCCGCCGTGCGGTGCAGGGAGTTAGCTTCCGAGGATGCCGTGGACTTGAGACGAAGTGGAACGCGATGAGAATGGCGTTGGTGTGGTGGTATCTCTGATATTCTGTTTTCAGAAAAAAGATAAAAAAGAAACAACTAAAAATCTCTCCTTTACGGCTTTCTTCAAACCAACATAAAACGAAGAGCTTATACTGACCTTGGCATTTTTGCTTCTCTCCTTCTCTTCACTGTTTATTTGAGCTCAAGTTGCTTGGATGAAGGAGAGCGTCGTTTGGCTTTCAAATTTTAGAGCTGAGCGGTTTCCAAGGAGGGAGACAGAGAAACAGAAGAGCGGGCAGTCAAAAAAGGACTTCGGAGAGGACAATGTGCAACGTTACAAAAGATATAAAAATTAATTTGCTTCCAGTTACCGTTGCCCACTGACACCTATCCTTCTCTCGTTCTATCGCCGCTTCATGCTCTGCTATGTACTAAGCTATGGTACTGAAAATGCTAGTCTTAAAGGAACTTTTCCATGAGAGGCAACGCCTCTACACCTGTTTTGCGAGCCCTTGGGTCGGGACAGAGGTTCGTATCGGGAACCCATGCTAGGTCCCGGAGAGGGGTGGCGAGGCAATGCTCATTTGAGGGGCGATAACATCACAGTTTCGTGACTTTAACATGAGCAAACAAAAAGGCAATGCCCAGGAGTGCCGCTACGGTATCAGCAGCAGTTTGTACGCATTTTTGGATTTAGGCTCTCATTTCACAAAGGATCAAACTCTTCTCAGGGTGTATTCTCAAGGTGTGTAACAAGTGTAGAGCAACGTCTGTGTTCAAATGATGGATTTCAATATATGTGTTCTCTTGTGAGATCAATAGATAAAAGAACATGAATTGTCAAAAGTTTCAATTGTGTAGATTATGGATTTAAGTGTTATAATTTTGTACACACCTTTTATAGTGGAATTTTTGGCATAGTGTGGCTTTCTATTTTTTCCAATTCTCGAGCTTTTCTCGTTAAATCTTTGGCACTTTTTCTAGTTTTTTTTTTTGTTATCTAGTTTTTTCTTATTGATGTGTTTTTCTGTCATGTGGTTTTGTTTGTGAACCGATTAAATTCTAAGTTTTCATCCCAATAATTAGTATTGAAGTAGGGTTTTCTGAAGATCTATGATTCAAATAGGAGCAATGATTGAGAAAGCGGTGCACAATTTGGAGATGTTCAATAGTTCAAATTTCACATTTTGGAAAATATAACCAGATGATTTACTATATCAGAAGAAATTATGGGTCTGTTTAGGGCAGCCGAAGCTTCTCAGCTTTTCAACAACAGTTGTGCTGCCCGAAGAAGCTGCTGCTGGGAAACTAGCTGGTTGTTTGTTGTAGCTGTTTGAAAATAGCTGTAGGTCAGTTGTTTCTGGACAAATGATCACCGTGCTTACTGTGTAGTAATGTTGTTTGTAATAACATATAAACTAGTTTTTTTATTAAATAAGTTATTGCTTCAGCAATAAATTAATGTTAATTAATATTTAATTAGTTTTGTTAATTAATAAAATTTATATTTTTATCATATAATTTATAAATTAAAAATATAATAAATTAATTAATCATTAAATAATAATATATAAATTTATCTAATTATGATTAATTTGAAAATATATGAATTAATCATAAATTATTAATCATTTAAATTAAAAAAATTAAAATTTAAATAAAGATAAATTAAAACCATAACCCCATCTCCATCATCCTCCACTTCGTTACTATCAGACACCAAGCGGGGAAGGCAAAGACGGGATAGCGGCAGATAGGGACCATCGAAACTTCCATCTCTCTCATCCTCCACTCTGTTACAATCAGAACCATTGAGGAAGTCAGCCTGTTCGCGTCATTCTTCCTCTTCGTCGAACAAAACTGAGATAATAAAGGCGTTCTGACGAAGCCTGGGTGCTCGATGATTTAAAAGATCAAAGGCAAGGAAGGGTCTTTGACTCCATCGCGTGTGAATCAAATAGTGATCAGCTCGTTACTTCTCTCGAACACGAAAGAAGGTAGGGGTATTATCAACGAACGCTCTCCACTAACGCGGGGCGCGGGGTGTGATTCGTGGCTCACGTTCCGCCAGATTTGCATCCCACCACGAGCTGGACACCTTACCAAATAAAAGAAAGTTGTGGCGCTTGGTCGTGATGCTCTCATGCCGTGGTCCTAAACGAACCCTATAACTTCTACTGAAAGGAATCACCAAGAAGCCAAAATTGATGAATCTCGAAGAATGGGAAGCCCTTTATCGAATAACCTTAAGTTTGATCCATCTTTCACTTTTCTCATTTGTTGCATTCACCACAGTTAATGAGAAAGTCACGGTGGATCTCATGATAACACTAACAAAGATGTATGAGAAACCTTTAGAATCAAATAAGGTTTTCTAATAAGGAGATTATTCAACATGAAAATGGTTGAAAGGAGTATAGTGGCTGAACATTTGAATAATTTCTATAATGTGACAAATCAGTTACGTTATGTGGGCATCAAATTCGATGACAAGATCACAACTGTGTTAATTCTATCTTCCTTGTAAGACAACTAGGATGGTTTAGTAATGAGGGCGTCTATCTCTTTAATAATATAAAGTTAAACTTCATTAACATCATAGGGCTAGTATTGAATGAAGAAGTTGAAAACAAAGATAGTGGTAAACCATCAAGCTTTATGTAAAATGTTGAGAACAAAGGATGTAATTTAGACTAGAATGTAGAGAGAGAGAGAGAGAGAGAGAGAGAGAGAGAGTCTTGAAGAGGAAAGTCCATGTAAGAATAGAGAATGACAAAGTTGAATGGTAGAATTGAGGGAAGAAAAGTTATTTCAAAAAGGATTACAAAGAGTCAAGGCAGACTGGTTGTAGAGGGCAAGAAAAGAAAGTGTTGTAAAATCTAAGGTCTCTCCCAAGTTTTATCCCTAATCATTATTAAATCTTGAATCGTAGATTCTAATGTCTCTTTTTCATGCATGCCCTAACAAACTAGTGTTTATAAACTGCACTCTGAGTTTTTTTGGGATGATATATTTGAGATAATACAAGGCCTACAATATTATAGGAAATGCTAATGTTGATGGCACGTTGCGAAATAAACATACTAAAAGCTTATTGAAATTAAACATGTTCTAAATTTAAAGAGAATTTTGATCTCGATGAGCTAGCTAGTAAGGTTAGAGTATGTGACTGCTTTCACAGCTGCTTCGTGGAAGGTAACTAAAGGGCCAATGGTAATGCCTTGGGGAAATATTAAAGTCACCCATTAACTTATCAATGAAATGACCGAATCTATTTATGTGGCTTGAACTAAGGGCAATGTAGGTCCTTGGCATCACAGGCTTGGTCATATGAGATAGGATGAGAAAGTTTCTACTTTCTAAGAATGACATTTAGTGTTTAATGTCTATAGAGTTAAATTTCTCTCAATGTTGTGTATATAAAAATTAGAAGAAATTTTTATGCTTCTTAGATGGGTAGATGATGAAGTCTCATGAACTAGAGTTAGTGCATATTGATTTATGTGGTCCTCCTCCAACTTAGTTCATTAGAGGTTCTGATTAGTTTGTCCTTTTCATTGACAATCACACAAAAAAAAAGTTATAAATTTACTTCTTAAAGCATAAATATGATGTATTATGAGAGTTTAAGAAGTGGTACACCATGGTAGAAAATGAAACAGGCAAGAGGTTGAAGTTTCTAGGATCAGCTAATAGTGGCGAGTATTATGATATGAGGTTCAGAGGATACTCAGCAATGGAGGCGACTATTGCATTATTTAATTTTGAAATTAATTTTTAATTTAAGATATATATATTTTTGAATTTTGAAAATAACATTCTAGACCAAATAGATTTCATATATCTACTAGTTTAAACAATCGAACACAACACCATAAGTAATACACGATCACGAGAGATAGGCATACTACTTGATAGTGGGTATGATTATATAAACTAAATGATTTATGACATCCATTTGATCTGCAAAACCTTTTATTTATGACCGATAAGTTCCCCTACCTAATATAAAGATTAGAGAGGGTTTATTTTATCTGGGTTCTTGGTTTCATATAGAGGCAAGCTCCTATAAGTAATTACATTTCAACTGAACAAAGTAACTTAAGAAAACTCTCAATTAAGATCAGTGATTTTCTCTTCAAGATATGAAAGTTTAAGTTTTCAAAGCTGGACATGGGAAGACCAAAAGAGAATTCTTCAAGTTGGAACAATTATTTATGAGTTTCAAGAAATGAAAGATAGGGGATGTCACATATACAAGGAAAACCTCGGTGGCATCTCAAAATATCTTATTTGTTCGGCTTCAATTCTATAGGTAACGGTATTTAATATTTAATTCTTGCCAGCTTTATTATTTAGGGCTTATACTTGCAAATTACCTAATTATGAAAATAACTTAGAAAATAAAAGGATTTATGGAGTATCGAACAATGACCTCAGAATCCTAAAAAGAGTTATGGTTTATATTGCACATCATGGTTGTGCAAACGCTTAAATCAGAGGTGACGATCTACGACGTGCTAGACGGACAATTTTGAAGTTCTATGGGTTATGTTGTTTAAGTCTAAGAAAAGTTTAGTTGAAGTAAATCTTGCTTTATGTCGGTCTTGATTTGTTAGGGACAGTCCTCCACCGTTCACTTGCATCCTCATCGCATTGAGCATAAAGTTTGCTCCGGACTCCATATCGTAGCAATCATGGGTTTTAAAGTTTATGTGAACATGCAAACTATTGAGTAATATCCTGTCGTAGGGACCCACTTAGCATATGTCCTACTAATGTCTACCCTAAGGGCCTTGCATGTATTGTAAAAAAATAAAGAAGTAAAGAAATTAAATAAAGTGTAGAACAAACGGAGTAAAATGTGTTAAATGTACCTGGGATGCTTGCCTTTGCTACAAGGTTAGTAAGTTATAATATAGTAATGTGCAGAAAGTTTAAACAAATGGTAAAAAAAACTAGTGGAGAACCTAAACATGTTACAAGAAAGCTCGAGCGAATAAAACAAAACGCGATATCACATATAAAAGATCGAGGCTGGGCATAAGAATTTAAGTATGGGACATGCTCAGAGCTGGGCTAAGTACTTTATAATCCAAATTTGGATAGACGATACGAGCTAAAAAATCCTAAGAGGGAAATTCTTAGCCATAATCAAAGTAATTAACCAGTGGACTTTTATAGGTTAACATCCAAAATCCTTTGATGTTTGTCATGAATGTAGATTTTAATTAGTAGACAAATGCAGTAGGGTAATAAGAAAAGTATTATATATTTTTTGTTGTTATGTTATTATCGGCTGCTATCTTCTTCTTTTTTTTATGAGGTGGTTTTGATTTAATTTAATAATATATATAAATTTTATTTTTT